CGCTGCCATAGCTGTAGCCTAGCATGTGTGGTGTGTGAAGTATGATACTGAGTGTTGCGTGTGGGACATCCAGGGTGATCCAGAGTGTGAACAGTGAGTTGTGTGGGCGCCCAGTCGCCATAGCCAGTTGAAGAGAACTCATATCTGGTTACGATATCTTGAGTATTGTGTGGGCGCATGTCGCCAGTTGCTGTTTCGCTGTTTGCATACATGACAAGTGTGAAGAAGTCGAGTATGATTGCAAACCACTGCCAGGAAACAAAATAGTTTACGGAAATCCTTTTTCTATTATTTATTTTAATTATTTGTTTATTATTATTATTTTTTTTTTTTTTCAATAAGTGAAGTCCGAAACGACACTATCCCAGAGCAGATGGAACCGGAAAGGATGTGAGAAGAAGGCAGAGAATCAAGTGTGCTCCATTGTCTGCAATAGAGGTAAAGCTGCATCAAGTTTGGATCAGATGCTACTCATCTGGGTGGAACAGGGGTTGTTTTGTTGCAAATCTAAAACACACCTTAAAAAAGTTATTTACAAAAAAACAAGGACTTGCCTTGTTATGATCATCGTGCAGAAAACAAAACAAAAAAAAAACACAGGAAATGCAGCTGCAAAAGTCAAAAACAGTTTAAAACACAGCGAACTCAGGCGTACTCAGACTGAAATCTGCAATGCTCAGTGTAATAGTGTATACGGTTATCGATCAGCAGATTCTAATGCTGGCATGGCAACACAAATGTTGTCTTTCTGTTTTCTTTTCACCACTTTCTTTTTCACGCACCCTTCAAAATTATCTTCTCCTTTCTCCCCTCCCCCCCCCCTCCTCCTCTTTTTTTCCCAAGAAAATTATCTGCTTTTACTGTAGTTAAGAACGTCACAGAGTTAAAATTGAAACTTTCTCCACGTGATGGTGGACTTCAAATTTTTGTCCTTCCCTTGTTCATTGGGGTTAATCATTAACTTATTTAGCATGCGTCTGTCTTTTTTCGTTCAGATTTTTGTCCTTCCCTTGTTCATTGGGATTGATCATTAAGTGGCATTAAGTGCCATTAACCCATTTAGCATGCGTCTGTCTTTTTTGAAGTTTTTTCTGATTTTCTGTCTCTTCGGAACGATTACCATCTTATTGCTGCAGCTGCAGATGTGCTGTCCCCTAGATACGCAGGGCACCGCTTCGCGCCTCTGCTGCAGTTATGCTTTTCTGGACTCTGTAGTCATACTTGCGTTCGTTTACGAGCAATGGCATGTGGAAATGGAACAACTCCGCTGACCGGATCCGGATGACATTCAATTCCTGACGCAGTGGTTTAGCCGTCGGATCGTACTTCGATCCATTCCAGAAACTCAAAAAGTCATGATGATGTCTAATGGGGTGAAACGTTGAAAGGCGGTGAGGACCAAAGGGGTGAAAAGTCGAAGAACTCGCAAATGAAGGGTATAGACTGTATAATTGCGGCAATAGATATGTGGTGTGCGACATGCGCACATCCTAACCTATCCACTGGCATCCAGTGCCCTAACGGAACGCAGTGTGGTGTAGGGGGGTTCAAGCCTGCGCCTTGTTGGCGATTTACGACTGTTTGAGAAGAGGACCCCCGGTCCGGAAGTTAGTTGACGGCGGCCAGGACAGGGCAGGGTTTCAAGGGGGGACCACTTTCTCCCTGCCCTGTTTACCAAAAAAGGGGTGACAGCAGCAGGAGCAGCAGGAGCAGCAAGAGAACGCATGACAGCAGCAGGAGCAGCAGGAGCAGCAAGAGAACGCGTGACAGCAGCAGGAGCAGCAGCAGCAGCAGCAGAAGCAGCAAGAGAACTATTTGTTGTGCTGAGCTTGCCGACCTTTGGCGTGACGGTGCTTACCATATTAGGAGTTATAGTAGAATTATATCATGGATGGCAGCAGTCTCATCACCAACATCGCGTCGTCAGAACTCATTGATGTGGAGAACACCGACAAAAGCTTAGTGCAGTCCTCGAAGCTATGGAGGCAGATGTCTTCTTCCCGCCATCATGACCAAGGTTCACCCATTGGCAGTAAGGCGCCATTTGACGAGGAAGAGAAAGTCGCGACGCCATCTCCGAAGATGCGGAGGCAGATGTCGGCTTCCCGTCATCATGATCAAGCTGCACCTGTTGGAAGTAAGGGGCCATTTGACGAGGAAGACAAAGTCGTGGGGGCGCCATCTCCGAAGATGCGCAGGCAGGTTTCAGGTGCCCGTCATATCGTTCAGGGGAAAGATAATGAGCAAGCTTCGGCGGTGGTCAGCAACGGGCCGTTTGACGAGAGCTCTCCGCTTTTCGACCTCAGTAGGAAACCAGAAACGATGGCTCCCGCGATGACAGACTTGGAGCATCTTGCGCAGCTGCCGGTGTACGAAGGGAGTTCGCAATTGGGTGGCGGAGTTGAGCTCTATCCGCCCAAAAAGGAGGAGAGGTGTGGTGCGCTTGCAGGTTTTGAAAGCCTCGACGAACTGTTACGGCATTACGTTCCGAAGGAGGAGCTGGCTGAGGTGCTGAGGGTTCTTTTTGGTCATAATATGGGTAGTACGGTCAAAGAGCTGCACCTTTACGAGGGGCTGAGATTGATGGCTCGGCAACAGGAGTACGATCTCAAAGGCTATCAATTCACTGCTGCGGAGGAGGAGCTTCGTCCCCCTCGCGTGGTTAAAATCGGACTTATTCAACACGCGATAGTGTTGCCGACGGACGCTCCCTTTGCTGCTCAGAGACAAGCGATCTTGGAGCGTGTACGGAGGATTGCAGACACTGCGGGCCAGCTCGGGGTTAACATCCTGTGCCTTCAAGAGGCATGGAGCATGCCGTTCGCTTTCTGCACGCGCGAGAAGGAATGGGCAGCCTTCGCCGAAGGAGCTGAGGATGGGGAGTCCATCAAGTTTGCCCAAGAGCTTGCCCGTTCGCATAACCTAGTTGTCATTAGCCCTATTCTCGAGCGGGACAAAGTCCATGGAGACGTCCTCTGGAACACGGCTGTCGTCGTAGGTAACCGAGGGAATATAATCGGTAAGCATCGAAAGAACCATATTCCAAGGGTCGGCGATTTCAACGAGAGCACCTACTACATGGAGGGTGACACGGGACACCCGGTGTTTGAGACCGTGTTCGGGAAGATCGCAGTAAACATCTGCTATGGCAGACATCATCCTTTAAATTGGATGATGTTTGGACTCAACGGTGCCGAGATTGTGTTCAATCCGTCAGCGACGGTGGGGGAGCTGAGTGAGCCGCTGTGGGGCATCGAGGCCCGGAATGCCGCTATAGCGAACGGTTTTTTTGTTGCCGCTATCAATCGGGTGGGGACGGAAGTCTTTCCTAGGGAGTTCACCTCTGGGGATGGGAAAAAGGCCCACAAAGACTTCGGGCACTTTTATGGGTCCTCTTATGTGGCCGCACCCGATGGATCGAGAACCCCTTGCCTGTCCAGGAGATTAGATGGGCTGCTCATTGCGGAGATGGATCTGAATCTTTGTCGCCAGGTGAAAGACAAATGGGGCTTTCAGATGACAGCCCGTTACGGGCTCTATTCCAAGTCGCTGTCACGCTATTTGAAGAGTGATTTCAAGCCACAATTGATTGTCGATCCATTGCTGGCGTGCGAACGCGGAAAGGCGTGAGCCGCACACATTTTTTTTTACCATCATGATGATCGTACGGTCACAAAGGTGGCGCTGCATATTGTGTTTGGTCTGTTCCGTATGTGACCTTCGTGTTATCTGTACAAAATGTACATATATATTTAGTTCATAACTTCATGCTACTTCAAAGTTCATACTGGTTAATATGTGACAATATATTTACCGGTTGTTTCGCAAACTGCACTCTTTTAGTTCATACTACTTCATAGTTATGTGACAATATATATGCATGTGTCACTGAGCCAATTAGAAGCCTTAGGGGCATAAGGGCCTGTACTGTGTAGATGTTAATTTGGGTACCAAGGCTCGTTAATTCTGTGTTTTCTCTACTGGTAGGCTACATGTCTATGTCAATAAATTGCGATAAAAGGCTGATCAATTGAATCATCATCATCATCATCATCATCATCATCATCATCATCATCATCATCGTCATCGTCATCATACTATAGTCTCAACGAGGTCGTCTCCTCAGAAGGATTCCATTGTCAGTTTGCTTGATAGAAGCGTTTGTGATGTCTGCCATTGTCTGGCATCGCTATTTCCGGATTTCGCGTCTCTGCGGCCCCTAGTATTTGCATTGCTCGGTTGTCTCGATTTCCAACCAATTTGGAAGTTGGGATCCTTTGGTCTTCCACCATTGCTTTTTTTTGTTTTGTTTTTACCACCTCTACAGTTCTACCTTCGATCCTCTTTTTGCCGATCCTGAATTTCAGTCTATGCACCAACGGGGTGCCAAAGCGGCAGAGCGGCGTTTTTGTTTTCTTCTAGCTTACTCCGCCAGCCGTTGTCGTCCGGTACCGCCCAGTCTCCGCCGGCCTGCGAAGAATGCGGAGTTGCCTCCTTTTGAGACTTACCGTCACACCTAGGCTGGGCGGTACCGGACGTGCCATCTTCGCAGGCTGGCGGAGGCTGGGCGGTACTGCACGTCGGCTGTTAGTGGTGTGTTTCATACTGAGTCTCCCTCTTCATTTCTACGCGCCGCCATCCCTCCGTGCGCAGCGGCCTTCCTTATCTTCTGTGTCTCATACCTTGCGCCAGCGCCATGCTCATCGTCTCTGCTGGAGGGTCTCCCACCAATGTTATCAATGCATTCAAACTCCAAAACTTCTTCATACTTCTTCAAACTTCTTCAAACTTCTTCAAACTTCTTCAAACTTGAAAACTTTAAAACTTTCAAACGCTCTCAGACTGCTAATAATGGTGAGACTGTACTTCAATTGTAGGTTCGAATCCTGCTAAGGAATGGTATCCCTGATCAGTCCAAGCATTTGTAAGGAGAAGAATAATTTTTTGGTGCAACTGATGTCAACTTTCCTAGAGATTGGTGAAGTTCATCGATTGAAGTGGCGAAGCTGATTGCATGGTGCATGGAGAGCGTGATCCATTGCTGTCGAGTAGTAGATGTGCCCTGGAGGTTGATGGGGAACAAAATATGGTGTGTACATGTCATACGTGTGCCATTACTGTGGGGCCCTTTTTATTTATTTATTTATTTATTCCGGTGTTTTTTTTTTTTTTTGGACGGGGAGTGGTGGGGGGGCGGCGGGGGGTTGAGTCTGCAGGCCGGGTGGGTTGGGGTTAAGGACTAGACCCCAACGCAGCTTTCACGGACGGAATTGTATGTCTACGTGGAATAGGAAAAAAAATCATTCGCAATTATTGCTCAACTGACCATAATGGTCATTTTCATTTCTGGTCGTGTACATCGTGCCAGGCCAGACCGGCCCCGTAGCACAGATGGGCCGGACATGCATGCCAGTCAGCAAAGCCTTGTGTTTTTTTTTTTACTCTGGTGCAGGGGCTTGTTTGCCACCAGAGGCTTGTCGCAAACTCGCAAGTTCATATCTGTTCAGACTCCAGAGTGAGAAATGCCTATCTATGTTCTATTATGTTTGCGCTTCCATGTTTTGATCTGTGTTTTGTATCTGATCTGGAGGACTGTCACATCATTCAGACATTCAAAAGAAAATTGGAGAGGAAAAGAGGAGGATAAGAGTGACAACATCCAGTTACTCTATATTTCATAGGTAGGTAATCCATTACTGTGAGGTTTTGAGGCCTTTCAAATTTGGTGTCGTTATTTTGTGTGTGTGTGAGGGAGGGGGGAAAGGGGGGGGGGTGCTCGCGGGGTTGGGGTTTAGGACTAGACCCCAGCAACTGGAACGTCCAACATCCAGTTACTCTATATTTCATAGGTAGGTAATCCATTACTGTGAGGTTTTGAGGCCTTTCAAATTTGGTGTCGTTATTTTGTGTGTGTGTGAGGGAGGGGGGAAAGGGGGGGGGGTGCTCGCGGGGTTGGGGTTTAGGACTAGACCCCAGCAACTGGAACGTCCAACATCCAGTTACTCTATATTTCATAGGTAGGTAATCCATTACTGTGAGGTTTTGAGGCCTTTCAAATTTGGTGTCGTTATTTTGTGTGTGTGTGAGGGAGGGGGGAAAGGGGGGGGGGTGCTCGCGGGGTTGGGGTTTAGGACTAGACCCCAGCAACTGGAACGTCCAACATCCAGTTACTCTATATTTCATAGGTAAGCCTTTTTTTTGTTTTGTTTTGTTTTTGTTTTCATAGGTAAGCCATTACTGTGAGGCTTTTCAAGTTTGGTGTCCTTTTGTGTAACGGAGGGGGGGGGGAGGGGGGGGCGGGGAAGGCAGCGGGCACGGGGTAGGGGTAAAGGACTAGACCTCAATTCAGCTTCACTGAAGGAATTCTATGTATGACATTATATGTGGAATAGAAAAATCAGGGGTTGGAGTTAAGGAATAGACTCCAATTCACCTTCACTGATGGAATTCTATATTATGACGTTATATGTGGAATAGAAAAATCAGGGGTTGGAGTTAAGGACTGGACCCCAATTCAGCTTTCATGGACGGAATTCTATATTCTGACATTATATGTGGAATAGAAAAATCAGGTGTCATTTTATTTAATTGTTCATCTGTGACCGTGATGATGGTCATCTGATCTGTGTACATGTTGCCGGGGATGGCCACAACAGATGGCCTGGACTGGACATGCATGCCAGTCGTGTCCTGTGCTGGAGTAGTGACAACCAAGAGCTCCTCTTTTTTTTTTTTTTTTTTTTTTTTTT